ACAAAATCTCGCAATTTGCAAACTCATACCTAAACTTTTGGCAGGGCGAATTAAAATTTCCTCTTCAGTAACAGCATACTGTATCGAAGCCGAACTTTCAGAAATTTATCCATTTTTAAGAGCTGAATCAAAGTTAATGTCAAAGAAAGTCAAGGGAAAAAAGACATGATGTCTGACATTTATTCCCAAGAACTACAACTTAATAAAACGAACTCTTGAAATTTTAGTACATCATTTTAAGATCTTTATATTACTATCAACAACAATTCTATTTACATGAAAATCTATGATAAAAGAGATGACTTTGACTTTTGTATAATTAATTATCCTTATTAAGATGGAGACGTACCCCATGCAACATCTTACGGGTTATATGTTTCTCAGTTAATTAAATTCCCTAGAGCTTGTAGCAACGTAAAGGATTTCAACGAGCGGAATATTTCCATTACCAGCAAGCTTCTAAGACAGCTATCATAAATTACGTAAATAGTTTACAAAATTTCACAATGGTAATTTTGATTTAATTTAATATTCAATAGTCATTTAAAAACTCTTCTGCGACAAGACATTAGCCAGTCTGGTTTTTATGGCGATGTGATTTATAAACTTCGTAAGATTTTGGGTCATGGTAATTTTTTTGCTGTGTTTACTAAAATCATTAAACGTTTTATTAAATTTTAAAGAGGTTATGAACCTACTATTTTAAGACATACTGCATGCTAAGTGTTCAACCCTTTTACAGTTGGACAATACGCTTTTCTATTTTGATTACATCTGACGGACCAAGTGGGAGACTCTATGAGGGACAGTTCTTAAAGCCTTTTGGGACTGAATTGTCTTAATGTTCGTTTTCTGCATTGCTTTGTCGAGCCCTTGTAGGTGATTTTCTTGTTGCTCTGTCTGCCTTTAGGACATGGAGTACTTTTGTTTTGGTCCTTGGGTTTACTTTTATGTTTCTACATGAGCATTTTGGTGTATTACTTATTTAACCTTTTGTAACCATAACAACTGTTAGAATTTCACTTGGCGGGGATTCATTTTATTCACACTGTCTCGTTTATAGGAACATGGTGGGGCTAAGAGTGAGGTTTGGTGCACCATTAACCGGTTAAAAACTCCCCGGCTGTCATTATCATGTTCCTGACCGTTCCAAGGCGGCGTCCATCTGTGTACCTCAGATGTATGTCTATGTTGTTTCATACAGTTTTATTGACACTTTTGCTTGTGTCCCTTGTTGTTTTCTCGTCTACGATAAGTATCTCCCCTTTATCCCTAGTTCCATTTTTTATTTACCCCCCCCCCCACACCCTAATCAAGGTCACCTGTCCATTTCTCTTGTGCCCTTTGACTTTGTGGGCCTGTTTTCAATCGTTTGCTTGTTTTCTTTAAATTCCTTATCAGATACGAATTGTTTCCTGTTATTCGATCAATTGTTTGTTTTGTCAGTTACAAATCATTTTAGTGATTAGCCTGTCCGTGATCTGCCTTGTGCCCTGTTCTGTTTTTGTTTGGGGTCCGCCTCGGCTCCTTGCCACTGGTTCTTGTTGCTGGTCATGTGGGGGTTGTGTTCATTGAACGCCGCCTTTCTTTGTTGATCTTGTTTATAATATTTCAAAAAATTTAATAACAATTAGAGTCATTTAAAGGCATGTAAGTTATTAAACTTCAAATTTTTGGGTCATAATAGGATTTTTTCTGGTTTACTAAAAAAAGTTTTATTAAAATAAATAAAGGTATGAACCTGACTAATTTTTTGGACCAGAACTGCAAAGGTAAGTGTTTGAATTATAATGACCAATAGTTTTTATTTTATACTTTGACGGACCAATGGCAGCTTTTAATTGAGTAACATTGGCTTAAGCCTTTTGCGACTGAATTTATCTTAATGTTGTTTTTGCATTGCTTTCGAGCAAATTGTTAAGGGATTTGAACTTTGACCTCTGCTCCTTAGGAACATGGAGGAGTTTTTTCTGGCCTTGAAGTAAAAACTTTATTTTCAAACATGAGGGTTTTGTACGACTTAACTTATTTACGCCTTTGTAACCATAACAACTGTTAGAATTTCACTTAGCGGGGATTCATTTTATTTACACTGTCTCGTTTATAGGAACATGGTGGGGCTAAGAGTGAGGTTTGGTGCACCATTAACCGGTTAAAAACTCCCCGGCTGTCATTATTATGTTCCTGACCGTTCCAAGGCGGCGTCCATCTGTGTACCTCAGATGTATGTCTATGTTGTTTCATACAGTTTTAGTGACACTTTTGCTTGTGTCCTTTGTTGTTTTCTCGTCTACGATAAGTATCTTCCCCTTTATCCCTAGTTCCATTTTTTTATTTACCCCCCCACACCCTAATCAAGGTCACCTGTCCATTTCCCTTGTGCCCTTTGACTTTGTGGGCCTGTTTTCAATCGTTTGCTTGTTTTCTTTAAATTCCTTATCAGATACGAATTGTTTCCTGTTATTCGATCAATTGTTTGTTTTGTCAGTTACAAATCATTTTAGTGATTAGCCTGTCCGTGATCTGCCTTGTGCCCTGTTCTGTTTTTGTTTGGGGTCCGCCTCGGCTCCTTGCCACTGGCTCTTGTTGCTGGGTCATGTGGGGGTTGCGTTCATTGAACGCCGCCTTTCTTTGTTGATCTTGTTTATAATATTTCAAAAAAAATTAAATAACAATTTGATACATTTAAAAACATGTAAGTTACTTCAAGTTCAATTTTCTTGGCGTAACTTAATAGGGATTTGCATTCAAATCGGATGTACTAAAAAAAGTGTTCATATTAGAAAATAAAATCAAAGCACAGAAGGCGCTGAATTTGTTTGGGTCTCAGAATGTCAGAAAGGTGAAGGTTGTGAGATTATAAACCAATTTGTTTTTGTATAGTGCAACCAATGCTTTCCAGCGTTTTAATTGTAGTAAATTGGCTATAAGACTTATTGCAACACTGATATTTAATCCAATGTTTATTTGACTTAAACAATTTGAAACAAAAATTGCCTTAACTGGGATTTGAACTTCAGACCTCTCGCTTCCTAAGCGAACGCGCAAACCCCTCGGCCACGGAGAATTTATATATTAACTGCCTGAAGAAAACCATATTATTCTAAATAAGGGTTTGTAACGACGCTAACTCTCACGTTACGCCTGTTACGTTCCCTACAACTGTTAGATTTACACTTAGCGGGGATTCATTTTATTTACACTGTCTCGTTTATAGGAACATGGTGGGGCTAAGAGTGAGGTTTGGTGCACCATTAACCGGTTAAAAACTCCCCGGCTGTCATTATTATGTTCCTGACCGTTCCAAGGCGGCGTTCCCATCTGTGTACCTCAGATGTATGTCTATGTTGTTTCATACAGTTTTAGTGACACTTTTGCTTGTGTCTTTGTTGTTTTCTCGTCTACGATAAGTATCTTCCCCTTTATCCCTAGTTCCATTTTTTTTATTTACCCCCCCACACCCTAATCAAGGTCACCTGTCCATTTCCCTTGTGCCCTTTGACTTTGTGGGCCTGTTTCAATCGTTTGCTTGTTTCTTTAAATTCCTTATCAGATACGAATTGTTTCCTGTTATTCGATCAATTGTTTGTTTTGTCAGTTACAAATCATTTTAGTGATTAGCCTGTCCGTGATCTGCCTTGTGCCCTGTTCTGTTTTTGTTTGGGGTCCGCCTCGGCTCCTTGCCACTGGTTCTTGTTGCTGGGTCATGTGGGGGTTGCGTTCATTGAACGCCGCCTTTCTTTGTTGATCTTGTTTATAATATTTCAAAAAAATTAAATAACAATTTGATACATTTAAAAACATGTAAGTTACTTCAAGTTCAATTTTCTTGGCGTAACTTAATAGGGATTTGCATTCAAATCGGATGTACTAAAAAAAGTGTTCATATTAGAAAATAAAATCAAAGCACAGAAGGCGCTGAATTTGTTTGGGTCTCAGAATGTCAGAAAGGTGAAGGTTGTGAGATTATAAACCAATTTGTTTTTGTATAGTGCAACCAATGCTTTCCAGCGTTTTAATTGTAGTAAATTGGCTATAAGACTTATTGCAACACTGATATTTAATCCAATGTTTATTTGACTTAAACAATTTGAAACAAAAATTGCCTTAACTGGGATTTGAACTTCAGACCTCTCGCTTCCTAAGCGAACGCGCAAACCCCTCGGCCACGGAGAATTTATATATTAACTGCCTGAAGAAAACCATATTATTCTAAATAAGGGTTTGTAACGACGCTAACTGTCACGTTACGCCTGTTACGTTCCAAAGTACGGCAAAGTTACTAAAATTTAATCGTTCATATACATTTCCGGTACAATCCCCGCCCTCTTGTGATTGTGTTCCTATTTTGACGTCTGCAGGTTTTGTATTCTTGTCAGGCTGCTGACGTCGATATTAACACAGATGTTAATAATCATGGAGCTTACTATTAGCATGTATATCTATAAAGAATAAAACAACATTAGAAATCTTCGACCATTCGGGACTTATTTTGCTTGAAAATTAATGCGCCTGTCATTTGACCATCTATACGCAGTGATCTCCCCTGAATTTTTCGGCATTAGTGTACATATAAAGGTAAGTAACCGCTTCAAAAATGTGGACTACTTTCGGCAATTGCAATTAACAGCATTAGAGTCTGACGACCAAAACAAATAAAAAAATGTTAACGGAAACTGTTTAAATTATAAGATGATAACACAAATTGTGCGTATATCTTCTCATGAATACAAATTTTTTTTTTAATAATATTAAACATTTTTGATGGAGTTCTGTCTTTTTTATAGTTTATTTAGGTGTGGCATCAAGAGGTTTTCTTATTCTGTCACAAAAAGGAGCATGTCTTACAATGATAACTTCCTCGATCCATTTAACACACGAACATTTTTTCCTGCAATTCTAAGATATTTTTCAAGACACCTTCATGGTGGTCTTGTGGTTAGGATTCCTGGTGTTCACCCAGGCGGCCCGGTTTTGATTCTCGGCACTGGAACACTCACTTTTTTACGAGAGTCTGAATACACTTTATTTTAATAGTCATACATGTATCAATATATTTTTTTAGAAATAAAGTTGCATGACGTATAAGGCATGTATCTGAATGCGCACCACTACTTAGACGATTAAATGCTTGTATTCAAGGGACATTGTGGCTTTCTTATAGAACTGCATGTTCATTTGAATGAAAATGATTACAAAAATACCTTTTTTACAGTTTTTAATGTTTATGTAACATACACTTGCCAACTTCATCCCTATCCCTTTATAACTCTTTCGCGGCTTGTTTGAAATACAATTGATATAATTATTTAAGTCATCCCACACCTTCCATTAAAGACCAATTCATTTAAGTACTGCTAAAATACTTTAAGCTCTTTCCTGATGAATTTCTTACGTGGACATTTTCATCATCAATATAGGGCCTATGTGGATTTGAAGGTTGGCCTGGATCTACACATGTGTAAGTCTAATCTTTTCCTGTTTCAGGAAAATGAGTCTACAAACCTATGTTATCTATATATTACATTGCTAACTGTTTTTAAAGAGTCCAGACAACAGCTTTACATAATATTCAAAGATGTTTGAGAATCATTTGTACTCGTTTCTTTTACTGTATCCCGATAGGACAACGGCATTTACAAATCGCCATTACTAACTGGGGTATCCTGAATCTTGCCTGTCACGTTCCCAAGTACAGCATAGTTACTGAAATTTAATCCTTCATATACGTTTCCGGCACAATCCCCGCCCTCTTGTGATTGTGTTTCTGTTTTGACGTCTGCAGGTTTTGTATTCTTGTCAGGTTGCTGACGTCGATATTTGATAAACAGAACGATTAAAAGGACAAAGACAATGACAAAAAGAATGCAAACAACAATAAAAGGTATCGTTAGGTCAAAGCCTTTATCTGTTGTTGTGTTTCTAGTAGACGGTGGAGAAACTTCGGATGTGTTAGTTATCCGTTCCGATACCTTGATTCTCAAGATGCCGATCGAAAAAAGATCTATGCTTGGCAAGTCCTTTCTTACCTGCAGAAATACGTTCAAAAAGTTAAAAGTTGAAGGAAAAACACTTCAAAAATTAAATTCCCGATTAAAAAAAACATTCTCAGTAAATGATTTTTAAATACATAATTTACAGATTTAAAGTGTCTTGAAACATATCAATTGTGGAACAGTCATAAGGCAAAACAAAAAAACAACAGCAAAACAAAAACCAAACAAAGCAAAGAAAACAAGAGCCACCGCCGGGCGTGGGCAACGCTCGACTTTTTACTTTTTCTAAACGCAAACATAGAAAGGTTTGAACATATCTTAACGTTTCCTTTTAATAAATTTAGTTGGTCTGTCTTGTCACATTAGTTTTGTTTATATATTTTGTATATAAATATGAATAGAAACATTACGCAATTTCTAAAAATAGCAACATTACGCAATTTCTAAAAATAGCAACATGACGCAATTTCTAAAAATAGCAACAATGACGCAATTTCTAAAAATAGCAACAATGACGCAATTTCTAAAAATAGCAACAATGACGCAATTTCTATAAAAAGCAACAATGACGCAATTTCTAAAAAAAAGCAACAATGACGCAATTTCTAAAAATAGCAACAATGATGCAATTTCTAAAAATAGCAACAATGACACAATTTCTAAAAATAGAAACAATGACGCAATTTCTAAAAATAGAAACAATGACGCAATTTCTAAAAATAGAAACTATGACGCAATTTCTAAAAATAGAAACAATGACGCAATTTCTAAAAATAAAATCAATGACGCAATTTCTAAAAATAGCAACAATGACGCAATTTCTAAAAATAGCAACAATGACGCAATTCCTAAAATAGAGACAATGACGCAAGTTCTAAAAATAGCACCAATGACGCAAATTCTATAAATAGCAACAATGACGCAATTTCTATAAATAGCAACAATGACGCAATTTCTAAAAATAGCAACAATGACGCAATTTCTAAAAATAGCAACAATGACGCAATTTCTAAAAATAGAAACAATGATGCAATTTCTAAAAATAGCAACAATGACACAATTCTATAAATAGAAACAATGAATCAATTCTTGTTGTTGTAAATATATATATATATACACACAAACACACATTAACACCAATAAATATATAATTATGGTCATTTAATGCACAAATCTGAGAAAATTCAGTAATTTAACCTTCAAGGTCAAGGTCATTAAAGAGCCCAAGCAAATTTGGGTTTGATAAACAACGAGGTCTGGTCCTTAAGAATGTTCTCTTATAACATGAAGTTGATCCCTTCAATAATAGCAAAGTTACAGTCAGTTCGCACCAAAACAATGAAAATTTCAATAATTTGACCTTCAAAGACAATGTCATTAATGAATGAATGTCAAGGTCTTCCGGTATATTTTTAACAGTTATCTTTGAAGATTATTATGTTCAAGTTTCAAGACAATCCATTCAAAAATAACAAAGTGACAGCCAATAATAGCCAAAAAAATGAAAATTTCAAAAAATGACCTTCAAAGTCAAGGTTATTTATGTGTGAAGGTCAAGGTCTGTCTAGTTATTTTTAAGGGATATCCCTGAAGATAATTATGTTCAATAAAAATTTCAATAATTTGACCATCAAAGTCAAGGTCATTTGTGATTGAAGGTCAAGGTATGGCGGGTTATTTTTAAGGGATATCCTTGAAGATTATTATGTTCAAGTTTGAAGACAATCCATTCAAAAATAACAAAGTTACAGCCAATAACAGCATGAACAAGCAAAAATTGGACTTTTAACCTTGAAGGTCAAGGTCATTTATGGATGAAGGTCAAGGTTAGTGTGGTCTACTGAAAGGTCTTGTCCCAAGGGTTGTTGTGGCCAAGTATGAAGGCAATACACCAAGAAATAAAAAAGTTATGATCCAGGTACAAGTTTGCGGACGGGAACGGCAACGGCAATGGCAACGGCAACAGCAACGGCAACGCGGACCTGACTATAACAATACCTCTACTTTTCTTTTTTTTTCAAAAAAAAAAGTCGAGCTAAAAACGTAATTTGTGAAAACTATTGTTGTGATTTGACTGTGAGCGTAAACCTTCGTAAACATATACGCAATTACATGTTATTTCAGTTCACATTACCTTAATGATAAGTCGAAATTCTATAACGGGGACACCTGCTTCGTTCAAAGATACATTTTGATTCACAGCGCCAGTCAATGGATTCATTATGAATAAATTATGCTGGTTACCTTACATATGAATAAATAAATAAATAAATACATAAATAAATAGATAAAGCTAATTAATTGAATAATATAATGAAATTTAGTGTCCCTTTGATAAAGTGAAATAAATTTTGAAAAGTTAAATCACTTTATTTGACAATATCGAAAGTGTTTGAAATAAAAAAGTTTGTTGTGTAAATAAATTTGTTATTTATAAAATGTGATACAGTGTAACTGGAAACATTTCTTGTTGTTGAAAAGTGAACAATGCATGGAAATAAATTCATCAGGGCAGCGTTTTACTAACATTGCGTATGTTTTTCCGTAATAATTATCGTAACTTTACGCTTACGTTTAGACTTACGTAAATTGTAAGTGCGTTTCACAAAACTTCCGTAAGTTTTTCCGTAGACTTACGTTAAAATATTTCGTAACTCTTCAAATGGAGGTTTGAGAACTCTTCACTATGAGGAGTCGTTGCGGGAATCAATGTCAAAATACACTGTCGTCTGTCAAAATGGAAACCGTCAACGTCAAACGCTCGAGAAAGTTGAATTGGTCCCAGGCTGAAGTCGATGAACTACGAAATTCATACTTGGAGTTTCGTAGTGTCATCGATGGACGCCTGGGTGTGACTCTCACTAATTTCCAGAAAGACCAGACATGGAGAGGTATTTATTTATGTTGGCTATGTGAAATAATATAGTAACAATTTACTTAAATATATGATGTCAAGCCATAAAGCGTTCTGATTTTTACTTTGCCCCAGTTCAAGGTTTCTCATTTTTAAATCGTAAATCTAATAAGTATTACTTATTAATGTGATAATGTTACTGCTAACTCACCAGCTAAAATTGAATACACTAGAGGAGTCCCAAGACTGTCAAGGTCATTCCCTCGTATGACTGGTATTATTGGCAGAGGACCCTATATGAATATGAAAAACAACATTATCACTGAATGTTCTATTATCAGACGCTATCATGTTTAAAATGTACATTTCTATTAATCTTATTAATTAGACAAGGAGTTATGTCACATTGAAAGTTCAGCGTTATTAGAGGCCAAACAGTGGAAAGAAGAAATAAAATCGGTACAAAATTGATGAAACGGGATTTTTATTTTGATATATTTAAGTGTGCAAGTTTGAATTAGCTATTACCAATTTACACTGGTACTAAGACGAATCATTTCGATTAATTAAACATGGATGTGTTAGGAAGAACACAATGCATGATATAAGTTCAAAAACAAGCTTCTTTTCAATCGACATCACATGGCTGCAGTTTTTCATAGAATAGCGTTTAATCAATATCAGTCATATATTTCAGTAAAGCTTTACGATACATTGCAATTGGTTTCATTTTTTATATTTGCAGCATCCCTGTTTTGGATTGGATTGTTAACAATGTTTTAAAAAGTTAGATTAGAACAATCATAAACTACTTAACTTCTCAGGAAAACTGATTCTAATAAACAAAATAAATCAAACATGAATTGAAATACACAAGAAAACAGAATCGCTGAAAATATGCTCTGACGAGGAAATCAATTTTATTTCTATATATTTCAAAACAAAGACAATAACAAAGCACGCTTTAATTGTACAACAGCAAACAATATGTATCATTTACTGTAATAGCATAAACAGCATACATGCTTATAGTGTTGCCCGTTCTTAAACGGTCTTTCATTTATGTTTTACTTATATTTAATACTTACTTTGTGGGCCAGTCGTATAATAGACAAAAATTGCGGAGCTGGACAAGGCGGAGGACAATCAGGGTATTCAAAGTATGGAGGCTGATCATCAACATCTGCTACGTGTATTTCCAAGGTGGTATAAGTTGTCTTAGCGGTAGGACTTGATGGAGCATCATCCTGTTGAAATATGTCATCTAATATCAGCTATGAGGTATTATTCCTAATTATTGTTGTTTACGTGGCATGATTTATCTATTGTTTTATTTATTATGTTTTGATACCATGTGTGAGGTGGCAACAATGGTCCTTAAATTTATTTTGTTATATTTTTTAGCTTCCGACAAAAGAGATTACATGTGTTTTCCTAACTATTAGTCTACATAAAGCAAATGCTACAATTTTATTAAGATAATAAAAATCTGGAAACAAAGTGATCCCTCGGAAGCATTAATCACAACAAAATTACGTAAGAATTGCAGACTCGGTTTGATTGAGTCTGTACATGAGAGATAATGAATAAGTGCAACATCCCTCACGCCTCTTAGCACCGGCTTAAGCGGTACTCGATTCTCAACACTTAATATTGCTGGCATCAATAACCCCGAAGGACCAGAAAAATATAACAGAAGTACAAAAATCTGGAAACAAAGTGATCCCTCGGAACTTCGGAAGGATTTATCACAACAAAATTACGTAAGAATTGCAGACTCGGTTTGATTGAGTATGTGACTTAAATAGAGACTGTGTAAACCAATTTGACCTCAGGCACACGATTAGTATTATTTGTGTACAGGACTCGAGTTCATATTTAAGGTCTGTGCTTTTAAGTTTAAGAGTTCATTTTGTCATTATTTTTTGTATATATCGGATATTTATTATATTAGTCTCCCCAGGTCAGGGTAATTTTTACCCCAGGTAAACAATTTATATCACATGTGTAGGGCTCAACTGAGCAATGCAACATACCAAATATCTAAGCTCCTCTGGACCTTGTAGTTTCACACAATACAATAGCCTTATATAAATTTTCCTTAAATCTAGTTATCCTTGGGTTTGTGGCATTCTCGCCCAAAGTGAAAGATTAAAATCAATATTGTAGAGTTCTACAAGGAAAATGCTACATGCCAAACATCTAAGCTCAGGCCATTGTAGTTTCACACAGTAAACAGGCAGAAATAGAATCGCTAAAGTGCAAGCTACTGTCCACGCCCTGTAGCACTGGTTCAGCAGTATTCAACACTTAAACATGTAATGGTAAAATTTTTAATTTAGAAGCATTCGCCAATTAGTTCATATGGCGGTGATCATTGAACCTTCCATGTGACACATTAGAAGCGGCTAATGTTCTTCAAGTAAAGTTCCTATCTTAGTCTATATAATTCAAATGACCCCTTGGGTGGGCGAACTTTGATCTGAGGAAGAAAAAAACCTTCAATATGTACAAAATATGATAAACAAGATCAACAAGGAAAGGCGGCGTTCAATGAACGCAACCCCCATATGACCCAGCAACTAGAACCAATGACAAGGAGCCAAGGCGGACTCCAAACAAAAACAGGACAGGGCAAAGACAGAGCACGGACAGGTTAATCATTAAATGATAAATAATTTGTAACTGATTAGGAATTCAAAGAAAAGACCGGGGGAAGGGTGAAATCAAAGAAATAAAAACTAGAGGCAATGGGGAAGATACTTACCGTAGACGAGAAAACAACAAGGGACACAAGCAAAAGTGTCACCAAAACAGTATGAAACAACATAGACATACATGTGAGGTACACAGTGGGGCGCCGCCTTGGAACGGTCAACAGCATAATAATGACTGCTGGGGAGTTTAAACCGGTTAATGGTGCACCAAACCTCGCTCTTAGCCCCACCATGTTCCTATAAACGAGACAGTGGAAATAAAATGAATCCCCGCCAAGTGAAATTCTAACAGTTGTCATAGTTACAAAAGGTTAAATAAGTAAAACACTAAAATGATCATGTAGAAACATATAAAAGAAACCCAATGACCATAACAAAAGTACTCAATGTCCTAAAGGAAGACAGAGCAACAAGAAAATCACATACAAGGGCCCGACGAAGCAAGGCAGAAGACTAACATTAAGACAATTCAGTCTCAAAGGGCTTTACGAACTATCCATCATAGAGTTTCCCACTTGGTCCGTCAGATGCAATCAAAGGAAGAAAGCGTAGTGTCCAACTGTAAAAGGGTTGAACACTAAACATGCAGTATGTCTTAAAATAGTATGGTCATAACCTCTTTTAATAAAACGTTTAATGATTTTAGTAAAAACAGCAGAAAAATTACCATGACCCAAAATCTTACGAAGTTTGTTAACCACATCGCCATAAAACCAGGCTGGCTAATCACTTGTCGCAGAAGAGTTTTTAAATCACTATTGAATTTAGAAATTAAATCAAAGTTACGATTGTAAAATTTAGTAAAATATTTCCGTAATTTATGATAGCGGTAGCCCTGTTTTAGAAGTTTGCTGGTAATAAAAATATTCCGCTCGTTGAAATCCTTTACGTTGCTACAAGCTCTAGCGAATCTAATTAACTGAGAAACATAAACCCCGTAAGATGTTGCACGGGGAACGTCTCCATCTAAATGTATATAATTAACTATACAAAAGTCAAAGTCATCTCTTATATCATAGATTTTCGTGTGAATAGAATTGTTGTTGATAGTAATATGAAGATCCAAAAATGATGTACTAAAATTTCAAGAGTTCGTTTTATTAAGTTGTAGTTCATGCGGATAAATGTCAGACACCATTTGATCAAAATAAGGATTATCTAAATTAAAAATACCATCAAGGTATCTTGAAGTATAATTAAATGCGACTATACCATCTTGTTGTTTATCTTCAGAGAGACTCAACATAAAGTCCCTTTCATAGCAGTACAAAAACAAATCGGCGACCAGGGGTGCACAATTAGTACCCATAGGAATTCCTATGATCTGTTTAAATAGGGTATTACCAAACCTGACATAAATGCTGTCTAAAAGAAAAGAGAGTGCTCTACAAACTTCGTCACAGGTCCACATAGTATAATGTTTAACAATACTTAGTAAAAAAAGCTTTGTTAGAATTACATGCTAGAAATGTAACTTTTTCCCGTGCAAAAGTTTTCTGAATTAGGGAAATTAGTTTATCATTGATTAATTTATGTGGCAAAGTTGTATAAAGTGTTGAAAAATCGTATGTATTGACAGTTGAAGCTTGAAAGTTCTTAATTTTGAATTTATCAAAGATTTCACCAGAATTTTTAATTGACCAAAAGAGATGTTTGCCTGTGTTTTCATAGACTTTATCACAATATGTAATTATTGTTTGGTTTTATTAACCTGTCAATTACATACTGATTACACGGTCGATGCACACAGTATATTAATCTTCGGTAGATGTTCGGTAAGTTCCGTGAGATGTACGCTGTACGATGGAATTTAATTTAATTTGTATCTCTAAACTAAGTGTACACAGCGTTATAACGCAATAGTGTAAATCACGAGTTTATAATCCAAGTGCCTCACGTGTTTTAAGTTCATGTTTTTTTCTTATTAATACTTTTAACATTATTGAATCTATATATGAATATTTTATGTTGTTCATTTTTTTTATTATGTTTTACTTAATTTTGTTATGTATATTCTCTTTTTAAATAACATGTTTTTTAAGAATTCATGTTTAAAATTAAAACGGATTAAAATTATTAAATGTCTTGTCAATGCCGTAAAACACTACAAATCTGTTCCATTAAAATATACTGCAACAATAAAGAAAGAGTACTAAAACAAAGGCATCAGTAAGGATCGAACCACAGACCTCTCAATTATCAGGCATTCTCTTTACCGACTGTCCTATTGTGGATTAACGAAAACCTTCACATTAAGCTGGCTTGACTTTCAATTCATGACTAATATACTCCACATTAATTCTCGTAAACTACACGGACAAAATCGAAGTGGGATCGAATATTTAAATGAGTCCTATGATGTATTCATTATTGACAGGTCAATAAAATCAGACTATACATGTGTTTTAATGGCAGTCAAACAAGACGTCAATAAAATAGAAAGTTTACTTGTAGTGCAAGATGTAGAATTAGCAATGAATCTGGCTTTGTAAGGTTTTTTATGTAATTTAGGAATCCAATACATAATAGGAAGTTTGAGTTCTTTTTCATTAATTTGGACTTTAAGATTGGAAATATTAGTAATATGATTGTTTACAATGTCTTTTTAAGTAACATTTCTGATTTACTTCTATTGGTTCAAAACATACAGAGTGGACACGGAACTGAGTAATTCATAATACGTATAATAAACAGGACATGTAGATGAGCATATTTATCATGGAGAGTGCATGACATGGTATGACAAATCAAAAGAATTGACTATATGCGTCCTGTGAACGTTGCCTCGATGTCATTATATGTAGGAGATATTCATTGCTGGAGAGGCTACTTGATACATTTAAACTTTGTGAAATATGAGGAAATGGCACTGCTATTATATGACATAAAAATTCTAGAATATTTTTGTAGTTATGTAAGATACTATACTATATATTTTACCTCGTAATGTACAATTTTCATTACATTTTTCTACAGAACTAAGATAAAATATATACATTATATTATGTATAATGTGGAATCACTGGTTCGTTTGTTAAAATGTTTTTATAAATCATAGAATCGTCGTTATATATTTTTTAGCTAGAACATTATCGTTGAAAGTTTATAAAGTAATTCAACCTCGATGTACTGAAGGTGTAAATGACATGCTTTTTGGCAAGTATTCTTAAATTCAAAAACTTTTTTCTCTTTGATAGATTTGACTGGGAGAAGTTAAAGTTTGCAAAAATATTTGGTACTTTGCAAGGAATACAATTAAAAAATAGAGAACATATGAATCCCTAAAGAAAGTCCAACACGACAAAATTAAAAATGTTGCAGGCTCGGTTTGATTAAGTTTGTTCATGGACGGTACTGTCAAGTGCAAACTACCGTCCACGCCCCCTAGCACCGGCTTAAGCAGAATTCAACATTTAAACATGAAAATGGTGAATTTTTGAATATAGAAACAAATTCGCAGATGTTATAATGGTATCTCTCATATAACACTTTCGTGTCGTTCCATGAAAAGCAGCGTATGGCCCCCAACTTCAAGAAAGCATGTGCCCTAAACGAGAAAACAATGGGCGGAACTAAACAAAATGGAATTTTGAAAGGGGATCAGAGGTCATGAAGCCTGCACACCACAGATGAAACGTCAAAAGACAATATCACAAACAGAACAATAATGTCGTTCTGAATGATCTTCAAGGATCGGAAATATATCATCTCTGATTGAATGTACGGGGCGGGGCGACTTTTTGCGGCCACATGTTCTGAATACATGTAGGTCAATATCTTATGTTTAAATCATAATGACTTATAAAAGTAAGATTGTCAATAGTATACATGTATTTCAACTGACATACGAAACCGTAAAACGTTTGTTTTCTAACTTTCATAAAAACTACCACAACACTTAAATACACACAACCTCTTTATAAAAAGTTATACTGACACACGTGGAAATTATATATATCGTAGATTTTCGAGACGCATAAATATGCAACTTACAAATACACTAAGGTTGAGAAAAAGTTTTTTTCTCTCCATTGTATCAAAATCAAGCATCTTGAACAGAGTAATGTCCCCATTCGATGATGATTGGATATTGAAATAGGCTGCACCGTCAAACTGTAAAAAAAGTTTATTAACGTCTGTATTCGCATAAATTATGTTTTAAACTGTCAATTTAATATATTACACATTCATAAGGGGCAGGACGTGAAGTGGTTGCACACTTGGTTCAAGCGAGCGAATTGGTTGCAAACTTGACAAAATGGCGAACACGGCGTGATTTTTTGAAACGGGTGAACGAATTTTTGCCAGGCAAGTGGATTTCTTTGTTATTTTGAAGTTTTTGCACTTATTCATTATCCCTCATGTACAGACTCAATCAAACCGAGTCTGCAATTCTTATGTTATTTTGTTGTGATTAATGCTTCCGAGGGATCACTTTGTTTCCAGAATTTTCATTAGTGTGTCTATTCCATAATGCAATATATATGCCACACTCGGTTAAAGGTTTCAGCATCCTAGATAATGTTTTGATGAAGTTATTGAAGATATAAACTGATCATGTAGATATTTTGAAATTTGACATGTGACTGTTCTGGTCGCTTTTTCTCCTAATTCATTCGAATTTGTAAGTTTTGAACTGCATTTAACAATAACAAAATATGTTTCTGTCAATGCTGTACAAATGGTTTAGTTCGCAAGTCAGAAGATAACGTTCAATACACAAAAATATCTTGTTCAAGCACATTTTGGTTGCAGACTTATACTTCAAGCATTTTTGGTTGCAAACTTTTGTGTCAATAATGTGGCATGTATATTTTTAGCGAGGAATAACTAATCTTTTTTTAAAAAATAATTAACAATATTACGGCAATTTTACCCATTCATCTAATAAGAAATATATATACAAATTGTGCATGTCTGCAGATAAGAAACCCACTTGCCTGGCAAAAATTCGTTCACCCGTTTCAAAAAATCACACCGTGTTCGCCATGTTGTCAAGTTTGCAACCAATTCGCTCGCTTGAACCAAGTGTGCAACGACTTCACGTCCTGCCCATTGATTCATGCGTATTTTATTATACAATGCTTATTATCTAAACAGTGACTTGTGTAAATATAGGATAGAAAAGATTGCAATTTTGTAACGTTTTCCATGTCTTAGCAATTATTACATAAAACTTTAGGTTACTTACGTCAATAAACTCATACTTCTCAATGGCAAAAAAGTAATTTTCAGCACCAACGACGTCAGCATCAGTAACCCTTGACCTCAGGATAAATACAAGTGAACCCACAGCCAGAGACTAAACATGAAAAAATAATAATATTGTTAAATAGAAACATTTATCTCATAAAAAATAAAGATAGACACTGAGTATCAATGATATTGTAATTTAAGACGAGTGAAATATAACTTGGACAACACGATTTGGTAAAATTAAGAAACGAAAGAATTATCAAGGAAATTTATCCACTCATCTAAAACTGTCATACGTATATTAAGGTCCCGCATTTGAATTCATAAGGCACTGTGTTATTTGGGTAAAGTGGCTCTCATCAATGGAAAAGAGTTTTTCAATATATTAATGAAATAAGTAACATAATGTTTCAAAAAGGGTAATAAAACACTCGACAGCTGATTAAAATCATACCTCATTCAGTGTCACGTTGTATGGGGCGTTATTAAAAACGGGAGGAAATTCATTTACTGCGGCAACGTTTACAAACACATCAACCTGAAGCAAAAATTAAATATTCATATTGTTTACAGTTATTCTAGAATAAAAAGTATTTTGTCACTGATTGTCTTTAAAGTATCATTCTTTGCAGTCATAACTATGTTTAATATTTATTTTAAAAAACAATTAGAAATAATAAATACTATCAATAAAGACAGGCATAATGGTACAAGCAGATTTAAAGCATTAATTTTTATCTTCATGCATATAATGGTTTATACGAGTACATCCACAAGAAATATTTCAGATTCGCTACAAGTAGGCTAGAAGTAGATGTTTTACAACATTGACCCAAAACTGGTTTAAAACACTTCATATTGCGAATAGTCAGTGGACAGTACAGCGGGTATGAATTCATAAAGTTGCAGGTTAAAACCATAGTTGTAGATTTCATTTAACTATCTTACTTTTCTATATATCGATCACCCATCAAGAATTTAAACAGACTAGTTGGAACGAGGAGCAGTTCGCTTAATATTTCTTTTTCTTTTGAGCAATAAAGATAAATGTGTACTGATTCTTGCACAACATTTTATTTCCCTAAAAAAATCGAAAGTATTTTACCATAATGTCAATAAAATTGTTCAATGTGAATCTTTGATTGTATAAATTTATACCAGTGTCATTATTAAAAAGCACAATAATTATTGTCGTAGTCAGAGTGTGACAAAACAACATTCAACTCCGAAGCGGTTATGTTTTTTATTTTGGAACCTTTCATTGTTTAGTCGTCATATAAACTATTCCAGAAACTGCGGTGTCCCGTTAGGGCCATTGCGACACTCACATACATGTACGTCGAAAAAACGGAAACACGAAAATATGATGGTTAAAAGTTGAAATAACGAAACCACGGTGGTGAAAATAAAAGTCTAAATATAAAGTATGAAAGTGAAAAGTCGAAAAAACGAAACCGCGATGGTGACAACTCGATATAGTTTCGACTTTTTATCATCGTGGTTTCGACTTAACACCATCGTACTTTCGGCTTTTCATCACCGTGGTTTCAACTTTTCATCATCGTACTTTCGATTTTTCATCATCGTGCTTTCAACTTTTCATTATCTACTGTCTAGTTTTCACCACCGAATTTTCGCCTTCCTGTCAATCATACGCACTGCATGTTACTTTATATAAAGATGTCATCGGTAGTCCGAAATAGTTGACGTGTAAAATAATGCAAAACGCACAATAAGTTTGCCCCATGCTTACATCATGATCCAAAACCATTAACATTATTATTTGTTTGTAATTGTATCTATGAAAAAAACATTTTCTTACCCGTTATCAATTGTTATGATCTTTGTGCACATGCCAGACATGAAAGAGATACTACGATAGTGAAAAGTGCAAAATACGCAGGTGAAAAGTCGAAATAACGAGACCACGAAGGTGAACATTCGGAAATACAATAGTGAAAAGTCGAAATTACGAGCTACGGTTGTGAAAAGCCGACAAAACGATTATGAAAGGTCAAAAATACGGTGGTGAAAGACGAAGTAACGAAACCGCGATGGTGAAAGGTCGAAAGTACAATGGCACCATCGTGCTTTCGACCCTTCACAGTCTAGGTTTCGTTATTACAACTTTTCACCATCGTACCGTCGATTTTTCACCACCATTGTGGTTTATTTTTTTCGACTTTTCACAATCTTGTTTTCGTTGTTTCGATTTAAGTTTGGGTCGCGATGGACCCAACGAGACACCATAAGAAAACAACGTTACAAAAATCATGCCACTGAATATTTTAATCGTTAATATTCTACCAGTAACAATATTATCGTATGTACTAGATTAAAATAACGCAAGATTTCACAAACCATTTTGTACTTTATAAGTGAGTTCAATGTTTTAATAAGCCCTTTAATCAACTGTCGCTTATCAGAGTATTTTGAAACGGCGAAACATGCGAACAGTTTTTTTGTAGATTTAATCATATTGTAAATAAACCGTTTTATGTATCTTCAAATCTTCAAATCTCGTTTAGTTATATGATAAGTTTGGAGTAAATCAAACCAATGAGTTTAAAGAGCATCATTAAACTATGGTTAAAGTATGAAACTGTAAACCTTTAGAAATTGGTGAACTAATGAAAACATTACGAAACACTTTTAAGAACTGACACTTGCCAATCGGATCTCCATCACCTTTATTTTTATCATTTTAAAATTAAATGATACTCCTCATAAAAAGAACAATTTAAGAATCATCCTTTGACTTATTTATGAATTTTATGCATGAAGGTAGTGATATTAATAGAATACTTACAGTAGTCCCTCCACATGTGACCATTAAGTCTATAGTTCTAATATCCGCTCCATACTAAAATATAAAGCCACAGTGTCTTAGCAATGCATTACATATATACATAATATGCGTATCATCTCTTCCAATAAAACTTTAAATGTAATGCTGTGATTTTTTAACTCAATTTACTTTAAAATTCTTTACTAAAAGTGTGCACTTAAAACATAAGTAAACAGGAAGAAAGAAAAGTAGTCTCTTAAAAAATTCCAATATTTCAAATAATTCTTAATAGGATTGTCGAATATATCAGCCATGAAGATCTATTGTTATAATCGAGTATTTTTTTCTAAGTATAAAGGAACAATTCATTTTCTATTAGATGCACCGACCAGTTGAATAATTTATTAATAAATGAAAACATTGTTATCAGTGAAAGCATATTGGCATTTAAAACTCAACTCAACCGGAGCTGGAAAAGTAAAATAGTTGATACCAGTAACATTTATTGAAGCCATCTTAGCTTAAATTGTCAGAAGAAGAAGAAGAAGGTCAAGTAAAGGTAAAGTGGGAAACTATCTTACCGAGATCATGAATTCTTCCAGATCTAGGACTTTTGAATTTATCAGCTGAAAAGTTGTGTTACCATTAATTAACAAAAGTCTGTCCATCAATGCGGCGTCGACACCTCCTTGTGTTGGACTTTTAATGGTAAACGACGGAGTTGTTCCCGGAGGTTTGGTGATATTAAATATGACAGTGCCTATAAATTTAATGATCTAGTTATTGTGAAATCATGTTTTACACAAGAATGATTAAGAATGCTTCTATGCTTAAGTGGTTATTACACACATGCATTTTTCCTTTCAATGACATGTTTTTTTAGTTTCTTATTCTGTTTCTGTGAATGCGAAAAAATCAATATTACTGTCTTATTTAGTGCTCGGGTTTGTTTACGATTGTTTTGGAAGAATAAAAGGTGGTCAAATGCCATGTGTATGCATCTTCGGTATAAAATGAATTCACAATCGACCAAAATAATTTTTATCTGAGCAATGCTTGGAAAGAAACTCAGTTACAACCAAACAGTGAATACTGTAATATGTCAATAAATTATTGAAAATTCATGAATACATGCCTGCAAATCTGTTATCTTAACTACCACACCGTTTGATCTTGTATTGAGTAAGTATAATAACTGTATACCAATATACTTATTTTGAACTGTTTATTTTAGACCATATAAATGCACGTATATGAGAACTTAAAATTTATATACCATTTGGTGCTGTTTCTAAGATCATAGTAAATGGCGACTGTAAGTCACATATGGCATAAGCTGTAAAATATAATCTAAAAAATATTATTGGCGGCGCTCTACATGAAATACTGGAACATGCTGTAAAATATAATCTAAAATTAGTGTCAATTGGAATTGTACGCAGTACTATATAATAGATATCACTTCCTCATAAAAGCTTATTTACTATATTGCTTTAATTGTAAGCAGTCATATGGACATGTTTCTTACTCATGTATCTCTTATTCTCTTAATGTGATCATTTGATTGTGGAATAGGCCCATTTTAATTTAATTCTACTCTCAAATTAGATTGATAATGCCTCAACACATGAATATCTCCCAATCCTATATTACATACGTTAAGTCAGACAAAAAATCAATTGGAGAATATTGCCAAAAAGACCCTTGATTACAATCTAAGTCGCTTTTACATGTATCAAAATTCATTAGTTTAGATATAACCTTCGTACATGAAAACAAGCTTTTGGTCATGTTTTCCTTAATCAAAACATACCTTGATGTGTCATCATGCAAAGGAAAATGCATATTGATAGTTTCTTTTGTTCCATTCTGATAAAGCATAATGCCATCTTACTCACCTGAAACTGAAGTGAAATATTTAATGCAAAATATTTTTCCTCGTCTTTTCATTTGCACACCAAAGACATTACGTATTCATGTATCTGTTTTTTTTTCTATGTCTTTCCATATGTACACCACAGACAGTAATTGTATCCATAATTGTTATTATCACCGGTTTATGATGTTCAAAATAAGTATTGTTTGTCTTGTGCCGCCATAATATTAAATGTACTGGCGATTAACATTGTATATATATGTTAAAGCCAAATAAACGTTGAATTTAAATGAATTGATTAATTATCCGGATTATCCGGAATAAAAAATAACCCACCATCCTATCAACTTGTATGACGTGTTATATTTTGTTATCATTTTAAAACAATAATCAGTATATTATCAGTGATCGTGCATCTATTAATAATTACAGTAGATTCAATAAGTACTCGGGTTGGTAAGCATTTGATTTAAAAAGAATGTCAAAGAATGAAACACGAACGAGCAGGAGGTATCATGTAATTACCTTAAAGATACTTGTTGATGTACTTACCAGGATGTAGAGAAAAGTGTTCACTTGTTGAAATGAATGTTTTCTTTTCTTTTCTTTAGTTCCCAATATCGAAAACAAAGTACTATTTCTTTACGTTTGTGAATAATGAAGTAGATATAGAACTTGCTGATAAATCACCGCTCAATATTGTAACTGGAGATGAATTATTCTTGATTTGCAATCCAGTCTTTCTTTTGTTGATAAAAAACTTAAATGTTATATATGAACAATTTATCGTATGAATAACAGGTACATGGTCAATACAAAAATATACAAAAATGTGTCAAATATCTACAACTATGCAGTTTAGCAATGAACTTGTTTAAATTGTTATATTGTCGGGAAAGTGAATATTGATTACGTAAATTAAAAGATGCAGGAAGGTAATCATAAAGATATATATATATATAAATGAAACTTACCAATATGTGATAATTTGTCTACAATGCGTTTAAATTTCAATCAAACCAACACTGTTCCTAACAAATGTGTGCCTTTTGCGTATTACAATTCATGTCGATACGTACATATCTTCAGATAAGCTTTATTTATAATCCTTGTCAATACCTCAAATATTGACATGTCGATATATAAAAAATAAATTTATGTACAACGTTATCTCGGTTTTTCTTCCTTTTCCATTTTGTAAGTCTTAAAACATATACATTTTCATATACATGTACATTGTAAATCAAGTATTATTTTTTCTATGTAAAACATGTGGGTAAAAAGGTATTGAATTGACCATTTCTATCATTTTGCATACCATTAAGCTTATTTGACTAAGACTGATCAGTGCGTCTACAAATACACCAAAGTTAACAAATATAATACATGCAGATCTTTTTTTTAAATGCATTTACATTCCGTAATCCTTTATCAACGGGAGATAACCCAGTTTGCCAACAAGATTTATCTTACTAAAAGTTATCTTTGCTGGTATTAGAAACAAAATCTATGGTTAATTTCTTTTTGATTCTCACAAATCTTTTAAAATCAAATTATGTTCTATTTATTTATAGATTAAAATAAAATTAATTATGACAATATGTTATTCAAATTGACAAACAGTTTTAAAGGGACTCCACTGAGGTTTAAAAGCCAAAAACATAACATTTTAATTTATTACGTAAATGAGCCGGGTCACTTTAAACAGAATATATGCAAAGAAATTTAAGAAATATACTTTGAAATAAATTGAAAATCGTATTTTTATTCTTTTCTTAGCCCGATTTGAATGAAAACGTTTAAACACTTTTCATTTTGGGTAATTTTTTATAATTTGAATAATGAAAAGGAAAAACTAAGTATACGAATTATCTGAAATTTTGCACAAAAATTAGTGGTCTAAACCTACATCATATGGTACATTTATCTGGAAAAAAATGATTTCAGTCCCATCATGTCAAAAAACCTCAGTGGAGCTCCTTTAATATGATTTATAAGCCATGGTCGCATTTATGATAAATATATCATTTATATTTTAAAACACAGAATAATTTTAATCGTTAATATTCTACCCGTTACAATATTATCGTATGTTCAAGATTAAAATAACGCAAGATTTCAGACAAGAAACCTTTGGACAAAACTTGACAAACCATTTTGTACTTAATAAGTGAGTTCAATGTTTTAATAAGCCTTTTAATCAACTGCCACCTATCAGAGTCTTTTGAATAAGCGAAACATGCGAACAGTTTTTTTTTGTAGCTTTTATCATATTGTAAATAAACCGTTTTATATATCTTAAAATCTTAAAATCTTGTTTAGTTATATGATAAGTTGGGGAAAATAAAACCCAGTGATTTAAAGGTTTTCATTAAACTATGTTAAAGTATAACTGTAAACCTTAGAAAAAGTAACTAAAAAAAACATTCGAAACATTTTTAAGACTTGATTTGCCACCGGATCTCCATCCCCTTTATTTTTTCTTTTTAAAATTAAAATACTCCCTAAAAAAAAAAATTAACAGTCATTTTTGACTTACTTTGTTTTGGCCCGGGAAGTTGATTTTAATAAAATTTTCAGTGCCCCTCCAAAAATGACCATTAAGCCCAATATTTAAAAATATCCGATTATACTAAAACATAAAGTCAAGTGTCTGGCAATGAAAAATTAACTAATTTGGTATCATATTTTCCCAAAAAAAGTTGATTTTTAACTCGTTAAATTTATTTTTTTAAAAAATTTTTTTTAAAGTGTGCACTTTAAAAATAAGTAAACATAAACAAAGAAAGGTAGTCTCCTAAAAAATCCAACACTTCAAATTTTTCTTTATAGAATAGTCACTGTTTGAATGTTGAAAGTATCAGCCTTAACGGTCCATTAATTGCTATAATCGAAGTAATGTTTTTTTAAGTATAAAGAAACAATCATTTCCTATTAGATGCATCGACCAGTGGAATAATGTAAAAAAAACTTTTCTCATTTTAAAGTTTGCTTTTTAAAACGCAATCGCCCGGACGGGGAAAAATTTAAATAGTGTACCAGGTTTTATTGACTTATACAGATATGGGGGGTTTGTTTAAAATATCGAAGGAAAAGACGGCTAAGTAAAGGTAAAGTATGAAATATCTTACCGTGATCATGAATTCTTCCAGATCTAGGACTTTTGAATTTATCAGCTTAAAGGTTGTGTAACTATTAATTAACGAAAAGTGGTCCATCAATGCGGCGCCGGCACCTCCTTGTGTTGGACTTTTAATGGTAAACGACGGAGTTGTTCCCGGAGGTTTAGTGGTATTAAATATGACAGTGACTATGAATTTAATGATCTAGTTATTGTGAAATCATGTTTTACACAAGAATGATTAAGAAATCAATGCTTCTATGCTTAAGTGGTTATTACTCACGTGCATTTTTCCTTTCAATGACATGTTTTTTTAGTTTCTTATTCTGTTTCTGTGAATGCGAAGAAAATCAATAATACTATCATATTTAGAGCTCGGATTTGTGGAAGATTGTATCGGAACAAGAAAAGGTGGTCAAATGTCAAGTGAATGCATCTTCGGTATGAAATGAATTCAAAAAAGACTAAAAACAATTTTATCGGAGCAATGCTTGGAAACTCAGTTACATCCAAACAGTGGATTGTAATATTTCAATACATTATCGAAAATCATGAAAACATGTACATGCTTATAAATCTATTATTCTATCTGCCACACCTTTTGATTTTTTATTGAGTCAGTATAATAACTGTTTACAAATATACTTATTTTGAACTGTTTATTTTAGACCATACAAATGCACGTATACGAGAACTAAAATTTATGTACCATTTGGTGCTGTTTCCGAGATAGTAAATGGCGACTGGAAGTCACATACGGCATACGCTGTAAAAATATAATCTTAAATCATTGTCGATTGTACTCTACATGAAATACTGGAACATGCTATAAAATATAATCTAAATTTTATTATCGATGGCACCCTTCATGAAATACTTGAACATGCTGTAAAATATAATCTAAAATTAGTGTCAATTGGAATTGTTTCGTAGTAAGATATAATAAATATCACTTCATCTTAAAAGCTTAATAACAGTTTTGCTTTAATTGTAAGCAATCATATGAACATGTTTCTTACTCATGTATCTCTTATGGTTCTCTTAATGTGATCATTCGATAATTCACTTTGTGGAAAACGCTCATTGTTATATAATTTTACTCTCTAATAAGATTGATAATGTCTCTAAACAAATAATTATCTCCCCATCCTATATTACATTACATTAAGATAAGTCAGACAAAAATAACCGGAGACTATTGCAAAAAGACCCTCGACAATATTTAAGTCGCTTTTACATGTATCAAAATTTCATGAGTTCAAATATGGCCTTCTTACCTGGAAACAAGTTTTGGGTCATGTTTTCAAAATTCAAAACATACCTTGATGTGTCATTATGCACACGAACATACATATTGAGAGTTTCTTTTGTTCCATTCTGATCATCTTAATTTCTTTGAAACTGAAATGAAATATTTTATGCATATTAATAATCGGAAGTAAATATAACCAACCATCTTATCAACGTGTATGACTTGTTATATTTTGCAATCCTTTTTAAAATCGCGCATCTATGAATAATTACAGTAGATTCAAGATGGGAAAAAGGTAAAGAAAGATATCATTAAAAGCACGCGATTACCATGAAATATCTAAACAAGGGCAAGGGTATCGTAAGCGGTTCATTCGTAAACTTATTTATCTTAGGTGTGCTAGCTATAGAGAGGCCCCTCCTCCTCCACCTTTGAAAAATCAGGGATCAATAGTTTACTTAGGATACACTTTGACTTTTTATCAATGGAACACGCCACTTAAAGTATTTTTGAGACTAAGCCCACACTTACAATCTTCATGTGGGCTTTCAATCGGAAACAAGTGATTGCCCATACGGGTAAATTTAAAAATGTACTCAGTAAGGACTTAACATTTTTTATCAGACCTGTTGTATCTTTAACATAATTATACTTTTTACCTTTTTATATATTTCAAAAGTATGACACCAACTCTGTTTAAACTGATCTGGATCAGATTATGTATAATATTAGAACCCTGAATATTTATCTGCTCTTGTCATATGTAAGAATTTTCTGTTCTTTCTCTAACTGACTGGGTATTTTGACCATTTGTAAATGTAATCGGACTGGTAAGCACTTAAAATAGAATCTCATACAGTGAAACACGAAATAACAGTTGGTTACATGTAATTACCTTAAAGATAAATGGTTGCTCATGTAAAATATTTCCAACCCGTGTTCACTTGTTTATTTGAAAGTTTCTGTAAGTAACTTCTTTTTTGTTCCCAATATCGCACACAAATACTGAAAAAAAATTGTTTTGTTTACCTTTGTGAATAATGATGTGGATGTAGAACTTCCTGAGTAATCTGTGTTCTATATTTTAATCGTGGACGTACGGAAACGTTAAAGGATCTCCAATAAGTGAGATCGTGACGTGTAAGTGGTCTGACTTTAGTTTGTTTTAACACAAATCTATTTATTTTATAAACAAAGATAAAAAATAAACGTTTATTTCGCCAAACCTTTTCTCGATATGCTTAAAATTTTGTCTAAGCAAATAGGTATCTTTTCGTCCTTTGTAAAACATTTGTTTTTGTGACAGAAATTCACCTAGAGAAAAAAACTAAGCGACTACGAATGACAAAACAATGGTCTAATCTTTGCGAATAAAATAAATTGATTAATGTTCACATCGAACAAAAATCAGTCGTCTCGCACTAAATTGATGCCCTTTAATGTTTCCATATGGATGTTATTGAAGCAACATGTAATCACAATTTTACATTTATCTGGAATATAATAAAGCTATCTCACCGCTCAATATTTTAACTTGAGATGAATTTTCTTGATTTGCTATCCAGTCTTTCTTTTGTCGATTAAAAGGTAAATGTTATATATATGAACAATTTATTGTATAAATAAATTTAACAGGTATAATGTCAATACAAAACTGCCAGAAATATATAAAAATATGCCATATATCTACAACTATGCATTTTACGCAATTGTTATATTGCCGGACAAAATGAATATTAATTACGTAAACTAAAGAAGTAGGACGGCATTAAATATATCTATAAAAATGAAACTTACAAATTTGCGATAATCTGAGAAGAAATGTCCTGTTTCTATAGCATTTTTGCTATTATATAAATTTCAATCAAACCAACACTGTTCTCAACAAACGTGTGCCTTTTGCGTAATGCCTTTCATGTTGATATGTATACTTCTACTGATAAGCTTTATTCGTGATTTCTATCACATTACTTCAAATATTGACATGTCGATATAAACAAAAATATATCTTTGCAAAACGTTATCTTAGTTTTTCTTTCTCTTCCAATTTTAGAAGTCTTTAAACATATACATTATCATAAACATTGTAAATCAAGTAGTTTTTATATTGAATAACCGATTATAAAGGATATTGAACTGACCATTTCTTTCATTTTCCATACTATTTAGCTTATTTGCCAAGTACAGTCTGATTTTATTGACCTGTCAGTTTTGAAAACATTATAGCACTTATTTAAATATTCGATCCCACTCCGGTTTTGTCCGTATGGTTCACGAGAGTTAATATTGAGTATATAATTAGTGTTTAAAAAAGTCACATAGGTTCTCGTCACATTTGCAATAGCACAGTCGTTTAAGTGATTCCGTTATGCATGAGAGGTCTGTGGTTCGATCCTTACCTTTGCCATTGTTTAGTTACAGAATAAATACGTAGACACGTTGGACATTTAGAAATTTAAAAAAACGCAGTTTACCTTATTGCGCTTTAACGGTCGGTATAACTATTTCAGAGAAACAAATTAAATCTAATCACATCTTACTGCGTAAATCTTTTGAAATTTACCGAAAATTTATCGAAGATTGATAAAGTTCGTGCATTGACCGTATATAATCAGTATGCAACTTATTGATAGACATAGTACATGTATGTATACATATCAACGGGAGAAAACCTAGTTTGCCAACAAGAAGATTAATCTTACTGAAAGTTATCTTTGCATGTTATTAGAAATATAAATCCATGGTTATTTTCTATTTAATTCTCACAAATCTTTAAAAAGACAAAATATGGTATACTTATTTATAGAATAAAATAAAATTAATTATGACAAAATGTTATTGAAATTGACAAACGGTGGTTTTAATATGATTTATAAGTCATGATCGCATTTATGATAAATATCAATTATATTTTAA